GAGAAATTTGAAGAGCTGAATAATATATCAGTATAAACCAATTTGTCGCCTCTATCACCTTAGCAGATGAAAGTGGCTTAACTTAAAATTTACTTTTTTTTTCGACGTGAATTTATCTGTTTGGCTATCCTGAAGCTTCCTGTTGTTTTGAAAAAAAAATGACAGCAGTTACCTCCTTACAATGTTGCAGATGCACCATAACAGTTCAAAAGAAAACCCGGAGGCTGAAACTGTTCAACACTTAGCCTTATGCTCTTGCATCAAACATCAGTATTGAAAATGGGAATTGCTATTACGGTATGATGAAGTTAAGGAACAATTTTTGTATTCCGACTTCTTGTCGTAATTAACTGATCAAGCAGTCTTTTTCTTCTGCTACTTAAATGCTATCAAGATTTATAAAGAAAACAATAGTTGAAATAGTTGTTTTTTTCTTAATTAAAGATATTCCACTTTTTTGTGCTAAATATCAGAAGTTGTTTTATGTCCTTTCCCCGTTTTTGTCGTCTTCTGAATCAACCTTTTCTTCCTCAAAGTATGTTTCGTTGTTTTACTGTACGAATTAGCCTACCGTTCAAGTATCGTTTGTCAAGAAGAAATTTTTTTTACTCTTTGTTTTGACTGTCTTACAAAAAAAAATTTTTTCGACAACAACCCAAACAGTTAACAGACTAAATAAAAACATTGTCTTTTCATGATTTATGTTCACAGTAACAACTTGTAACATCTCTCCTTCCCTTTTTCCTCCGCTTTTCAACGTATTACTGCTTTTTTCTTTCGTTTCTTTTACTGAAATTACATTTTTACACAAGGTATAATTAAACAGCAGCAGTAGCAGCAGCAATAACAATAACAGCAAAATATTTTAATCGAGCAAAATTTTTTTAATATATTTTGTAAAAAAATATTTTTATTTACAAAATAAAGCAAAAAAAAACAAGACAAAAAGGCAGACGAAAAATCTTTTGTATCTCATATGATATCACTGTAACATCGCACTAAACTAACCAATGAAAATAATTCAATGTCTGAAACTAAAGTGATCAGATCATCAATGAAGAAGAAAACAAAAAAAAAAAAACCTTGATTTTTTTTTTTTTTGGGGGGGGGGGTAAACAAAGTTCAATGATCAAAAATCATCGAAATAACTATCATAGTTTTATATGTTTGTTGACAATGATGTAAAAATTATGTTGAAAGCTATCTGCTAACTGTTCAGAAAAAAAAAAAGAAGCTTTTATTGTTTGTTCAGCAACAGGAACTGTTGGATTTTGTTATCACTGTTTTTCGCAAACTACTTAGCTAATATAAAAACCTCTTTTCTGAACGTTTTGAAAAGCATGAAAAAATTTTGTTTAACAACTTACAGTATCAATAACAAGTATGACTTTGTAGAAGGAAGACTGCAGTGCACGAATTATTTTGTTCAACCATTTTCAGTAATATCTGTTCCTTCAAGAGAAGTTACCATGTAATTTTAAATAGCTTTTCTTGATTTAAGGTTACAGAAAATATAAGATGCATGAAAACAGTAAATCTCCTGTCTAAAAACAATCAAAACGTATTGACAGAAATTGTAATGGTCAATGTGAGAGTGATATGTGGTTGAATAATGGGGGTAATATATGTTTTATCTATAGAATCTTTGTTTTTTATCTTGTTTTTTTCTGCTTCTACTCCTACTCCCGCAACTTAGTCATTTCTTCTCCAACCTCTAATCTTTGAGAGTAGTGCCTATATCAAACAAAAATGTGGAACTTTTGGGTTCAACTAAATTCTATAATTAAGTCTACTTTATCTCCTTGGCCATGGTCAAATTTGGCACAAAGTTAAGCAAACCATATGTGAATAACAATAACATTTATTCTTCGTCAAAGATTTTTTCATTTTGAAGAAAAAAAATAATTGCATATCCATTATGAATAAAAATTAAAACATTTATCCGTTCTTATAAAAAGAACAAAACTTCATTTCTTTGGAATTAATCCAACAATTGTAAAACATTTACAAATTATAATTATCTACAAGAATGTAAACATTTTAATCACAAAACATTTCGATAATTATTGTTAAAGGATGACATTCAAAACTAGTTTAGAGTTTTCTTCTTCTTCTGGATTCAACAGACGGTGCAACTATTGTACGATAGTATGCTGATGCTGGTATTATTTGAATATATTGCACCTGAGGTGATGCTGTCACTTCTGCGACCGCAACCTGACTAACAAGTTGTGCCGGTGCAGGATAACTTGAAGCATCAACAACTTGCGTTGGAGTTATTGATAAATCTTTGTATTCTGGAATCGGCAATGTTTTTCCCCCATTTTCATTTGGGAACTGTCTAATCAATTTCCTAGTCAACAACTCTGTGTTATGTTCATATCGCAAGCCTGGTACGTAGTGGAGGTCGTCAGAATGCCAGAAACTGTAAAAAATATTTGGTTAGTGTTCCAACGGTCCTGGTTATTGTAATAACTTGCAAGCAGTACCTTTTCTGCATGCAATGTTAGAAAAGATTCACATAGCATTCTTACGTTTTACGTACTCCTGAATGTGCTAAATCGCCTTCTGGTCTCTCCAAACGAATTGGTGGAACTTTAGGAAGTGGCTCATCGGCTGCACTATTCGCTGGAGCTGGTGCCAAAGCTGCTTCTGGTTCAACTATTGGAACTGGTTCAGGGACTGGAGCTGCTTCAGGTACTGGAACTGCTTCAGGAGCTGCTGTTTCTGGAACTGGAACTGCTTCGGGAGCTGCTGTTTCTGGAACTGGATTTGCTTGTGCTTCTGCACCTGGTTCTACTGCTTGTGGACTGCCATTTGGAATCTCCTCAGCAGATGCAGCCAAGAGAGTTAGCAGAACAACAAAAAGTAATTTCATCTGAAATTTATAAAAGTTAAACTGATGAACACTTGTTGGCTATAGTTTCAAAATCCTTGCTGTGTAAAGTCTGATAAGTTTTCGTTGGTAAGTGTGAGAAGAAGAAATAGTAGTATCAGCTATGGAGGTGAAATAATGCCAGCGAGTGTATCCGTCAAGGCAATAAACAAAAGCAGCATTTTTGTTGATACTATTATAAGTCAATTTTTTTAATTAAAGAATATATAAGCTAAGATTTGAAAAAAAAGATTATTTAAAAATTTTTTGGTCGATTACAAGCAGTAATAATATAGGAGGAAAAACTGTACCTTTTTAGCTTTTGAAGTTTGACAAAAAAAGTTGTTGATGAACAATGAAAAAAACTTCAAATGTTGAATGAAAGAAAAGAAGTGTTTTTATAGCAATAAGGCGGAACGGTAAAATTATTTCATTTGACACTTGTTGGCTATAGTTTCAAATGCACTTTTAATGACAAACCTGAAACTTTGCAATCCAAGTTTATTGGTGTAGAAATAGCAAAAAAGTATCTTCTAGTCCAAATAACAGACTTAATAATTACTTGTACCAATCAAGTAGTTCTGGTTCTTAATTTTTTTTGACCTATTAATTTCTTTTTGTTGTTAGTTCCTTTTTTTCATCAAAAACAATAACACATTATCAGTAATATTAGCCGTTTATTTACCAAATTTTATGAAAACACAGCAGCAATAACCTGGTCATTTACTTTGATATCTTAATTATCGTTAAGTTATGACAATTCTGCTTGTAGTTGCAAAAATGAAAGACTATTTTGTTAATTTGAACACCTTTATCTGTAAATCACATTAATATAATCGCCAAAAATTTACTTTGATTCAATCATTAAAGTTATAAAATTAAAAATTAAAGATTTAGAAAGAATTTGTTAGAAAAAAAATGCGTGTTTTTTCTTTGCTTTTTTTTTTGATAAAATCTACTAATAATTTTGAAAGAAACTTTTAAAGTACATTGGTTCAATGTTCGTGCAATTGTTCTATAGATAATTTAGTTTTTTTTTGGTACTGCTAGATGATATGGTAGGTAGTAAATCATCGATGGAGAAACGATATTAGACCTTTGTTAATTAGTACATCTGCAGGAATGAAGTAGAAGACCGGTAAAGGGAAAAGGAGAAGAGGAGAGAAGGGGAAATGTCAAAAATTTATTACCTTCCGGACAACTGTTCAAGGATTTTGTAAAGTTCTTGTCCAAATTTTGTACTACTATACTTTAATCTTGATTTTTTTTCTTGCTTTCTTCTGTCAATTACTTGATTTTGTGTTCAAATTAAAATTTAAAAATACCGGTATTCTGTAATGCATAGTACCACACTATTAATATGTTTGGTTTACAGCTTGTTCATTGTTTCTGTGTACCACAACGACAACAACAACGGCAGCAACAATAGAAGAGCATGACGTTTGTTGTTTATGTTTTTGTTCAAAGTATTTCTAATTTAGAACACGTTTGAAACATACTTGTTCAGTGTTTTTTGAAAGCTTTAGCTAAAAACTCAGCTTCTTATTAAAAAAGTTACAGAAATTGTTGGGAAATAAGCAGCTTATTTTTGCAGTATACCCAATTTTGGTTAGGTGAAGTGCAAAAATGCATAATAATCTAATTGAATGGTTTTTTTCAACAACGGCAGCATCAGCAGCAGTAACAGCAACAATAAAAGCGACTTATGCCTTAGACAAGCAAATTTGATCAACGGTATATGACAATTGTAAATGTCGTACATTATTAACGTTATTTTCCGTTGTTTAAAGCCAATTAGTCAAACTTCCTTTATGTTTGTGTGTGTGTGTGTGTGTGTGTGTGTGTGTGTGTGTGGTGGTGTGTTTGTGTGTGTCTGTGTGTGTATATATGGGAGAGCGGGTGAGTGGGTGTATATGGGTTCGTGTGTTTGTGTGTATTGTGTGTACGTATATTAGTGTTTGTGTGTGTGTATTTTTATACCTGTTTAAAATTCTAACTAAGAGTGATAAACAATTGAAAGTTAAGTTATTGAAGCAACGAAAGTTTAATTAATGCAGTAAAACTGAAAAAAAATGATTTAAACAAAACAAAATAATTATGTAGAACAAAAAATGGTAATTTCTTTACCTTTTTTTATTTTTTTTTTTTATTTTTTTTTTTGTATCAAAATAATCTTTTTTTTTTTTTGAAATTTATTTAAATCAGAACAGTTTATTGTTTAGTGGTCTGTATCTCCGTGCATTTGTGTGTGTCTGCGTGTCTGTCTGTTTGATTTTTGGGGTGTACCTCTGTGTGGATAAGTATGTCTGTGTCTGTGTATGTGTATGTGCGCAGTCGCCTGTTTGTCTGCAAGTTGGGTAAGTCAGCAGACAATTCGTGTAATATCAATCATTTAGGCTTTCACCTATATCGGTAGTGGTATACAGTTTATCTGATAACTTTCATTTTCTTTTTACGCATTGATATCATCTGAAGGCTGTAACGATGTACTTAATACTGGTTTCTATCAGTTTGCATTTGTGGGCATATGTGCGTATACGTGTGTGTTTGTGTATGTGCCGTTCATCAGTTCAATTTGAACGAATATTTACACAAAAAAAAACCACAGTAATAGTAGTATTCTTAGTAATAGCGACAGAAATAATGTAGTAAGGACGGTAGTAACATATGCCACCTCTTCTATTCTGTTAACAGTACCAAAAAACAAAGCAACTAATTAGGTCCCTAAAGTTTACAATAACAGATCATAATAATTTAGATAGCTATTGCAATGTTTACATAAATTTATTTAATTTTATAAATTTTATTTTGTGTTTTTTCTAATTTTGCGCATTAAGCAATAAAAACTGATTTATTGCACTTCGTTTTCCTTGCAAAAACCAAAAAAAAAATCTTCCTTGTTGAAAAGTACTATCACATTTTTTTTTTTTTAAAGGACTGTTCAAGTACTTTTGTTGCTTAGACTTAGCTTTCATTTGTTTTCTCCTTTTCGCTTGTTAAACTTTTATTGGTTAAGCTTTAAACCATATGATTTTATAAAAATTTATGGCCTCAAAGCAGAGATCAAAGTGCAAAAAGAAATCTTTTTCACATTTTTAATATAATGTTTTGATTGAAACTGCTCAAAGTTTTTCTGGTTATGAATCTTAAACGCTGATTTTAATAAAATAATTGACAAATAGGTATTCATTCGCCCGGTCACCGACTCACCCAAACGCACGCACGTATGACCGACAGATTATTCCTGCTTTTTGTCAATTTAATTTATGGAGATGGTTATGTAATAACAGCAACAAAAAAAAAAAAAAAAAAACCGAATAAAACAAAAATCATTTTGTAATTTTTTTAAAATAAACATTTAAGTTGATTAATCATCAGCTTTACACATGATTGATTAAGACTAAGTGGAATTTGTAATTTTTCTTCATCACTTTGAACATCTGTCACAGTTTATCACTTGCGGGCCAAGAATCAAACAGACGTTGACATTAAAATGACTTACAAAGCTACTAAAAAAAAGTTAGTAACAGTTTTTTTTTGTTCCTTTAATTTTACACGTAAAAATTATATGTAGACAAACATAACAGAACTTTTTTGCGTAGAAATAAATCAATGTAACACTCAAAAAAAAATTGCTGCAATTTTTACGCTTGTACGAATAATTTATCAATGTTTATCACTCTAAAAATGTACAGTTATCTGTACCAAAAGAAGAAAAAAAAGTGAAACTTTCCACTGCTTGTTGAACTGACGCGGCACTAATTTTAGTAAAACTACTTTTTTTTTCTAATATTTAGGTGTAGTATATACGAAAATCCGCAGAGCTTAGTATAGTAATCTTCCACGTCAATTGACAGTTGACGATAACTGTAAAGAAAAGGCTTAACGTTGATTTTTTGATATACTGCTGCAAGTTCAGTTTTCAGCTGCTGCTACATTTTATTTTCAAACACTGTAGCAAACACTAAATTTTTGATTAATTAGAAGTCATATATATTTCACAAGTTGATCTTTTTTTTACTGGCTTGTTCTCTTTTTTTTTTTTTTTTTTTTT